CTATAGATCCCTTACAGGAGCCCCTTAAAGGTACCCCTTATAGATCCCTTTAAAGGAATTATCAACCGTGGGACCCACACCCCCGAACTTGGACATGACTCCCCAAGCATACTTGGAGGATCAGGGGACGTAGTAAGGGTTTTGAAAGGGTTCCTTAAAGGGATCTATAGGGGCTCCTTAAAGGGATCTACAGGGTTTAGGGTTTAGGGCATACTTGGAGGATCAGGGGACTTAGTAAGTAAGGTTATAAGTATCCTAATTAGGGTTATAAGTCATTATAAGTATAGTCACCTTACTTATAACTTAACTTATAACCCTAATTACTAAGTCCCATGATCCTCCGAGTAGATTTTGAACTGCATCGTAGAGACCCGGGACACCAGTGCTGTTCCAACCCTCTACACTGAATTTGTTGTTAGAGGTTCTGTTTGAGGCAACATAAGAAAAGCATATGATCAATCACATATCCCGCTGCAGAGTCGACCGCAGCAGAAGTAGGTAATGGAGCACTACGGATACTCAACCATATTCTTCGTTACTTCGTTCATGACAGAAAGATGGTCATGACCCAGTATGTTCTTAGCGGCTTCGTTCTATCCAGGTTCTGGTCTTTTCTGCGGGACTACAGCTCAGACATATCTGCTAGCTTCAGAGGATGTACACCCCCTGCTTCTATTCGCGCAAAATCGGCGATTTTCAGCTGTCGCATCAGTATGATTGTTGTTACATTGTTGCTGTGACTGTAGCTTGCATTGCCATGGCTATTCCTCGTATCATTGCTGTTGCCGTTGCGGAGTACTACCGCTATGGTTGTGTACATGCCAAACGGAGCCGCATTCTCGTCGGTTAGGGTGGAGACATTCCGAGACCCAAGCTTCCAGTGCCAACCCAAACCCTGAAACCCCAAAACCCTAAAACCCTAAAACCCTAAACCCTAAAAAGAAAAAAGCCTACACCCTAAAACCCCAAACCCTAAAACTCTAAACTTGAAAACCCGAGCCTTACCCTTACAAGCATGTCGATCGCAACGGCGATAGCTCCGTTGAAGTCCAGAGCCCACCATCCGCAAATTACAAGAGCGGCGACGGCCTTATGAATAAGACAAAGGGGGGGTACCTCATCTGCGGAGGTCTTCGTCCTAAAACTCCCACAGCTGCGAGGGCAGTCTTGCAATAATCCTACAGCCCAGGAACTCCTTGCACTTCCATGGGCAGCTCACCTGTGAGAATGTCCGATTGCATTCACATGGGCCGGAAGCTCGATGAATTTTCTTCTTTGTTGAATACCTAGGTATCGATGTGGGAAACTTTTAAATTTCTCTTATTGTTTAATACAGAGCACTAATTGCAAATCGTTTTGGGGATGTTGACATCGACACCTAGTTACGTCTCGAGGACTTGGTCACAGGAATGGCGACGGCAGAACCCAACACAGCAGGATCAGCTCGGCATCGTAAACACAGTTTAGCAGTTCTCTCCAAGTCCCAGCGAGACAGAGAGACATATATATAGAGAGAGAGAGAGAGAGAGAGAGAGTAATGACCAGCATTAATTACAGTAGTAGAATATATCACCAAAATTCTCTTCCAAGTAGCAAGGTCCCGGTATTGAGGGATCATGGTCGCATTCAGGTGGGATGTCTTCACCCCCTGTGCCAACCTCACTTGGGAGACGACCCACGACTCCCGCCAGGCTGCGAGAGGGTTCTGCAAGAACGTTCGCTGAACAGATTGTCCCAGCATCACAGGCTTCGGGGCTACTATAGGGGCCTTAATAATTACCCATACTGTTTTGGGGGTTCCTTAGAAACAATGTAAAATTATAGTATAACGGGCCCCAAAACCCTATTCTAATTTTTAAGGTTGTTGTCTGGGTTTTGAAGTTCGGGGAGTGATTCAGGGCTTAGGGTTGAGAGTTCACTGCAGCTGGCTTCAGCCCTGTGCCAATCCTGCGCGCCAGCTGTTTCCTCATCAATGTCATGATCATGGAGGGTTGTTTCCTTAACTGACAAGAGCTTTTGGACTATTGGTTCCTGAGCAAAACTGACTTGCAGACTGTGCGAAAGAATCCAAGTTTGTTCCTCAGCTCATGATGTAGGTTCACCTTCCTCCACCCCTGACCCCATTGAACAGACCTTAAACCCTAGCCCACAAGCCCTAAACCAGCCTGAAGCAGATGGGAGAAGCTAACGAAACACTGCCGCGGCACTGGCATATGCCAAGCATGCAAGCAGTAGTGGTAGCAGCATAACTGGGGTAGGATAACTAGCATCGACGTCACCATTCCTACCGATAGCTCCAGAGCAGTATCGTACTTGTGGCATTACGAACAGGATCAGTCATGTCAGCCAGCACAGAACAACCATAGAAACGTTTAGAACCACAGCCGAGTGATAACGACAAGTCTACGGCCTTCATCCGGAATAGCGGAATAGTAGGCAGCGATCGAAAACGGGCCGTTTTCGCCAAAGTTGGAAAGAGAGCTGCACATGGCCCTCGAGTAGTGCCGCGACCAGCGACATGCGAGGTGCGCAAAGCACCAGGAGATTGAGGGTTTTTATTAATATTCAATATTTTTTAATATTCAACCAATAATTGGTACCTGCATAGCCTCCCTAAGCCCTGTAGCTGCCACTCTCCGAAGGCCACTTGCATCATGTCCGCCAGGGTTTGGGCTGTATAGCTGGGGTGCTTTCTGCTTCTTGGCTTGGTGTCGCCGATTTGCAGCAGTAAGTTCCCACTGCAGCAGCCCGGCAGTGCAGCCCCAAGCCCAAACCCTGAACCTTCAACGCGCTGGAGCTCAACACTGATGAAAGCCGGCGAAAGCTGAAAGATGGACACGGTTTGAGCATGAGTTTGAGCCCGAAAACCGTCAACAGTGGTAGAAGAACCAAGTGATCGAAATCCCTTGCAGTTGTGGTCGTATGTGTCTGACTAATGCAGCTCGAGATTGGTGATCTCTAGCTTGGGTATCCCTGCGCTGTTCTGCTTGCTCTTGCCCGTATTCGTCACGGCTACTTGAGCCGCGACTGCCGTTCCAGGAGTATTCATTCGGTTTGGATTCTGCTGTCTGTGGTCGGAGGTTCCGCAAGGTCTTTGTTGGTTTCCCGTGTCGTGAGCCTGAACAGAGAGAACTAGTTCCCTCGCAGTTCCTGTGTTAACATGGCAACGCAGAACCTTTTCGTGAAAGCACATGCTAGTGTCTTAACTCTAAACGCTAACCCCTAAGACCCATTTTATCATATTACGGGCTAGGATTTCTTCGTCATGAAGTGTCGCAGTCCTCAAGTGTCCTTAGCCGGACGAGACTCAAGCAGGGCCGGGGTATTGGGTTCTGAAAACTCAGAATCACACCCAGAAGTCCGCCTTGTTAACCACCTCCAACACCACATGACTCCTGCGCAAAATCTGGCATGGCCGCCCCAATCTTTTTCTGGCGTTAAAAACCTGCCCTGGGCAGATGCTGTTTACAAAAGTCATAGTCGTTGGGCACCTGGCTTGTTGTATCGACTCCAAACTCATGTGGTTAAGGAACCAAATGTGTGGTCAGTGCAACCCATATGTTGTGTGGACGAGATGACAGATATAGTAGTCTCATGTGCAACGAGGCTTGGTGAATGTGCTGAGAAGGTGCGTGAATGCTGGAGTGATCATCGCCGCAACTGCATCTTCGCGACCACAGATATACTAGTCACATTCGGAGCGATGCTTTGTGAATGTGCTGAGAAGGTGCGTGAATGCTGTAGTGATCATCGCCGCAACTGCATCTTCGCGACCCATTATGTCCTACTTGCGGCAAACAGTCGATTAGCGAAGCAAGTATCATATCTTTCCAAAAGATAGGTTTGAGTGACGAAGTGGCGCCCTTATCAGCCGGGGAAAGTGTGCTTGCCTGAAACTTCGTGCCGGAGCATCAGGAGTCGGCTGCAATGGTCACTAAGCGATAGGCTGTACGTCGCGGCAAATGAGGATGAACAAGCCAGCTTGGCATGCTTGAATCGAGCATGCGACATTGCGGCTGTAATTTACGGTTATGCATACCGACATGGGTGTGTTTGCTTCTTCTGCTGTAGAGGTGATTCGTGGAATGGTGGGTGCGGTGCAAGTGTGCAGCGACCTGACACGTACATCCGAGGAGCCCGAGCAAAAGAGTGATATAGATGGAGAGATGTAAACTATGTACATCAGCAGATAAGCAGCGTACCATATTTCGTGTCTCCCTACTTGCACAGGAATTTGCAAGGCATGGAAGTTGTCGTGTGTTGCAGAAGGACATTCAACCTGAATCAAGTATCTGTTAGTACGATCCCACCGAGTGTTATACGGCATCCCAGTATATGTACCGTATGCATTTATTGTCTGTATTATCTTGTCTTGCTTTGCCTTGCCTCGCGTTGCGTTGCATGGCATTACTGCATTGCACTGTTGCGTTGCATTCTACTGTATTGCCTTGCTTGGCATATCTTGGCATTGTGTTGCGTTGTAATGCAGTGTGTTTGTGTGTGTGTGTGTGTGTGTGTGTGTGTGTGTGTGTTCGGGTGTCTGTCTGTCTGTCTGTCTGTCTGTCTGTCTGTTTGTCTGTCTGTCTGTCTGTGTGTCTTTCTGTCTGTAGTTATGCATGCATGGAAGGATGGGTGCATGTATGTATGTATGTATGTATGTATTTAGTATTTAGGTACGTAATTATGCATGCATGCATGCATGTATTTATGTGTGTATGTATGTATGTATGTTTGTTTGTTTGTTTGTTTGTTTGTTTGTTTGTTTGTTTGTGTGTTTGCTTGTTTTAACTGTTGGCCTGCACATGTTCGAAGGTAGGTGTGTGTGTGTGTGTACCTATAGCATACATGTGTGCACATGTGTATACATGTGTGTATATCTGTATCAATGTGTATCTATGTGTATCTGTGTGCACCTATGTGTTTATATGGTGTATTCATGTATACACACACCCTTGCAAGTCCTATAAGGAGGACAAAAAGACAAACGGCTTTATCCAAGAATGTACACGCATCTCCGCTGGAATGTTCCCGTTCAGCCAAACTCGAGCGCAGGCGTTCTTTCCCTTGTTTTGGTATTGGCGGCCGCAGCCGTGCCGGTGACGCGCCGCGTGGCGACGGAGGATCCATTGAGGTGGCTTTCACAAGTGTCGTTGGGTTGTTTTGTATTGGGTTGCATTAATACACCGAGTTACCCCAAAATGGATTGTGATTGGGATCCGAGAAATGGCCGTGCAAGAAGGAGGGGACAAAATGCCGTGATACTTCTTCTTTGCCCTCTCCGGGCGCGCAGTCTTGTGGATCAGTGCACATCCTAATAACAGAGCTTCTCGGCCGTGGCCTAACTACTCTGAGCGTCGGCATCAGTTTCGATCACAACGTGTAGCTGACACGCGGATCCTTCTTGGCCTTTTTCTGCGCATCCGTTAGAACAGACATATCCGGAAAGGTCTCTAGCAGCAGGGGTTCTGTTCACGCCAGCAGCCCCCCCTGTTGCCATAAGACCTGAACCCGAGGTAAACCCTGCAAATCTGCAGCCCTGAACCCGCTAACCTTGAAGCCTCAATCCCCAAAAACCGAACGGCCCCAAACCCAGGACTTAAATTTGAACACTCCGCAGACCACTGGTGCCCCCCACAACTGCCTTATTTGTGACCCGACTCAAGTCCTGAGGGTCGGTTGGAGGCCTTCATTCTCGATTTTTCAGACCAGCCTGCTACTATAGGAGCATTACTAGTTGCCGTCACTTTTTTGGAGGCTCCTTTTTATAGTTATATATGGTCAGGCGTCTGGCGTTCCCAGCCCCCCCCCCCCCCCCCCCCAATGGTATGGTCTGCTAGGGTGGGGGGGGGGGGCTGGCGTCGGAGCCGTTGGAGCTGTCACTGGATGGTGGGATGGTGCTGGCGGCCAGGGCTCACACGCAAGCCCTTCGCAAGCAAGCCGTAAACCCTATAACGCAGCGCGTGCCCTTGTTTTGAGTAACCTTAAGTTGTACTTCCAACCCTACACCCAACCCTAAACCCCACCTAACTGCAGGCTCTAAGCCTAAAGCAGAACATACACCGCAAGTCCTCCCTAAGCCCTTGTCGACTCGAAGCGTTATACCTTGTAACCGTAAACCCAACACTCAAAAGCTTAAGCTAAACCCTAAACCCCAAAACCCCACAACCACCCCACAGGGGGAAGAGGGACCCCACACCCCACACCACAGGGGAGGGGGGGTCCCACCCTATATCCGGACCATTGACCTTTGGGGGGGGAGTGGGGGGGGCCGCGGAGCGCGTGACCATATATAGTATACTGGGTCCCAGGACCCTATTCTAATCATTGAGGGCCCTATACTAGTCATCAATCAGCGCTGCTTCGGAACTGTTCGCGCGATTATCGAAACTGGGACTGCGCATATCAGGCCCTACACCCTGAACCCCAAACTGCAACATCCCAGGCCCAAACCCTTGAACTCTAAAGCCCTAAACCCCTAAAGCCCTAAACCCCTACACCCTAAACCCTTGAACCCTTAAACATTTCAAACAACCCAAAAACCCTGAACCCCTGAACCCTAAACCCAAGGCCTCAAAAAAGCCAACAGAACCGGTCAGGCCGTCCTGCGTTACTGTGGAAGACCCCTTCGAAGATCTCCGGGATGTGACTTGACCTGATCCTTCAATAGGTTTAGGCTTTAGGGTCCAGGGATTAGGGTTTAGGGATTCGGGTTGAGGGCTCAGGGGTCTTTTCCGTAATGCTTCAAGTCGCGCGTATAGTAATCTCCCTATAGCAACTGCGTAACCGTCAGCGATTTTCAGACCCCAAAGGCCACCAGGTAAAGGTTTGGGGTTTAGGGTCTTAAGTTTGTTTTAATCAGGGGTTTCAGGGTGTTATGGTTTAGGCAGTCTTTGGTTGCGGAGTTGGGGGTTTAAGATTTAGGCCGAGGCTTTGAGGGTCGCAGTGCCGGCTTCAGGGCTGTGGGGATTTCGGGTTTGGGGCCCCGGTGTGTGAAGCCAACCCCTAAACCCTAAAGCCCAAACCCGAAACCCTAAACCCGAGGGCTCACGGTTGTAGGTTTAGGTCTGGTCTTCTTCTTGCTGTTGGCTTCTTCTGGAGCACGCAGATGCCACAGAACTTCCATCTGGGTTGATTTTGTGGAATGTAAACATACAATACAAAGTCCGATATCTATTGTCATGTCTATAACCTGATATCTAAAACCTAAGGCCTAATACCGAGAAGATATATAATATATAAGGGAAAATATGCCGAGAATATATAAGACAGAATTTAGTAGTTAGCATAACAGGCATCGAAAGTGAATAGTAGGGATTCTTTACTATGGCAGCTTGAACTCAGCTCCGCAACAAGAACCCAGCCATTGGGGTGGTTGAGGTAAAGATCTACGCGTTGGTTTACTACGGAAGGCGGACCTATGCCACTTGGATCCAGTGGATGGGCAAGTGCACAGGTATCCTGTACACAACAGCCCATGACGCTGATATTCAGGACGCGTAAATGTACATACAGTCATGTCTGTTGAACTCACGTGTAAGGTAAGTCAAGCAAAGTAGCATTGCGATTGCATCTGCTCCTCAGTCAGTCACCCAGCCATCCATCCAGCCGGCCTGCCTGCCTGCCCATATTTACATATCAGAAGTGCGTACATGCAACTACAAATATATCAAGAAGATATAGTTTTGTCATTCCGATTGTCAATATGACATCTAAACATGCATGCCTACATCCAACATCCATCCGTCCATCCGTCCATCCGTCCATCCGTCCATCCATCCATCCATCCATCCATCCATCCATCATTGATCCATCCATACACACATGCGGACACTTTATTTGCAGGTGCGTACATGCAAAGCTCGATCGGGAGCAGGCGTGCAAACGGCAATGGCTGGGAAAGAGATGCGACAACAAGCATCGTAAAGGCACATATGCACAGGTACATACAAACGTGCATATGTTTTTGCACGCAGGATTGGCCTTTTTTGCTTCTTATGCGTACGGCACCTGTTACGGATACCTGCCACATGTCGTTGTGCCTCTAATATGTCCGCGAGCTGATCAAACGTTGCATACATTCAATCAGACATATGCATGCACGAAGATAGATCATCAAATACACAGATGAACTCAGATGAATACGTACATAAACAGACTGATGAGCACATACAAGGCAACTACAAATACTATCTTCTAGCTGTCTATGTATCTATCCACCTATCCATCTATCCTTCTATGTATCTAGCTTTCTATACAATCATATGCAAGCATGGACCCGCACCTAGATCGCTTGCATGTGCATGCTTGCAAGTTTCAATACATGCCAGCATAAACATCCAGTTTATGGATCCCAGGTGGACATTCTTAATGCCTACCTGGAGCGAAATCTCCGAGAGAATGGAGGGGTTCTCGATGGTGTGATCTTCGCGATGGTGAAGTACACCATGGAGGAACGCCTGAAAGCAGAAATTTGGAGGGTCATGGATTACTGTGGGGGGTTTTCCTTTGTTGACAGACTTTCTTGCATCGCTACTCCTTCTGCTGCACGACCGCAGGACATGAACTATTTAGTTATGCTTCACCGTTGCCATCTCAGAGGATTTTGCCAAGGGCTAGCGGGTGAGGGTACTGTTCTGAAGTCTGTTGTCTCTCGTGTGTCGCTGAGGGCGCAACCCGAAGAGCTACATAATTCCCTGGCACATGCAGGGGGGTGCATGGGATGTCGATGCCTCAGGGAAGCCAGTGCTCCAATGCTCCTAGAACAGAAGTGCAGCGCGCTGCGGCACCCTAAACCCTAAACCCTTACTCGTGGTCATGGTGACCCTGCGCCGTGTCGCACCATGCCTTGGCATTCTGGATCGAAGAACCATTAAATGCTGGTCGCAAGGTAATATGGCGCCTTGCTGACCAGCCAGGGGCATATTACATCAAGATCGATGACGATGCACCTAGACTTGCAAGTCCATGCCGTGAAGTTTGAGAAGCTTTGCTTCAGGGATTCCGCATGGTCCATCCGCATGCAACCCAGGTTGTCTACATCGCCGACGGTGCCATTGCTGAAATGATCCGGGAAAAGCGTCGTGGGAGATTCCTTTTCGTGTCTGCAAATGTGGCGAGCTCAGTTGGCATATGCGAAAACGATCCAAGTCTGTTAGTCTGATTCTCAGCGGTAGAACCCTGTACGCTAAAGCCCTCGTGCAGGTTGTTAACCACGGTATTCTTTCGGCGGTGCATCAAGAAACATCTGCGATTCCGCACCTGGTGAAGCCACCGATTCCGGAGGGCCAGACGCCACAAGCGCCCAGGCATTGTTTAGGGTTTGGGCTTCAGGCCTTGAGGCGTTGACATAGTCTTGTGTAGGGTTACCAAGTGCTATATAGCACCGGTGGCAGATGTCTGGCAGATGCTGGACGGCTGGACGGCTGGACGGCTGGACGGCTGGATGGCTGGATGGCTGGATGGCTGGATGGGTGGGATGGGTGGGATGGGTGGATGGGTGGATGGGTAGATGGGTGGATGGGTAGATGGGTGGATGGGTGGATGGATGGGTGGATGGCTGGATGGGTGGGATGGGTGGATGGGTAGATAGGTGGATGGGTAGATGGGTGGATGGGTGGATGGGTGGGTGCATGGATGGATGGATGGATGGATGGGTGGATGGATCTACGGATCTACGAAGATACCATACAAGCCTTCGATGTACGACCTCATCTGTGCAGAAGCAGTTTGGTGTTTACCGAAAGCTGACCTTGAAACAGAGCTTAAGCGGGCTCAAAGTAGGGCTTGAGAGCTCAGCTCCGGGCTGTTGAACTGAATTCTTATCTTGGGTGTCTCATTCTCTCACACAGCTGCCCGGAGAAACTCTCAAGTCTCTCACCTACAGTTGGATCCTCAAGACTGGACTTTAGATCCTGGAGAAGAAGCCCTTTGCTGAGGAACAAAAGCTGGGTCCCTGGATCTTCAAAAGCGATGTCGCATGGCTGCTTTCAGAGAGCTCACGATTTCGCTTGGTTTATGGCCTGGCTTTAGGGTGACTGTAACATGTTTTTGCTTGTGTTTCTCTGTCTTTCTCTGTCTAGCTCTGTCTTTATCTCTCTCGCTCTCTCTTTGTCTCTCTCTCTCTCTCTCTCCCTGTCTTTCCCTCTCTCTGTCTCCTCGCGGTGTAGGTGGGCTCAAATTCGGGGTCTCCGTGTGCAGGAAGTGTATCGAATGCCGCAGCCGAGTTGATGACAGATCCAAAGTACCGCATCGAGCATACCTTCTATTCAGACTGCGTGTGGAGGCGCGGTTCAGGATTCCATGGAGATGCCGAAAGTGCAGAGCTTGCTCAGAAGCGAGATGGTGGCTGTAGGCTGCAGTTCTCGGAAGGAAGGACATCTGTGCCAAAGCGGCTAGTTCACTCGGAACAGTCCTGGTTATCCTTTTGCAAGAAACCGTAAGCCAGTTTGATGCTTACCTTGGTTCTTAGGAACCCGACGAGCACCAGGACCATTCGCATGTCTGATATGTACGAGTTTCAGACAATGGTCAGGATCTTTCTACTCAAGACACAAGAGTTCTCTGCTGCAAGAAACTTACTCCTAGATTGGCTAGTGTTCAGGGATTCGGGCATAGAGGCGGTCCATCCCATATATCAACTTGCAAGCCCTTAGCAATCACTAAACACCCTAAACCGAACAAACCATTAAGTTAAGGATGGCTAAGCTCCCAAACCTCATCTTCAGTGGCAAGAACTCGAGGAGCCTTAACGGCATCCTTCAAGGAACCCTACTCTCATCCTTCATGCCCCCCATATTCCCCTGTCCTAAACTTGGACAAGCCCCAAACCCCAAAGGTCCCCAAACTCTAAACACTGAGAATCCTCACACCATCCCTAAACAAAATAATCCCCAGACCCTAAATCCTAAAGCCCTACAAGTCTCAAACCCTACCCCCTAAGTCGCTTCCTTCTTTCCTGGACCTCTAAACCCCACCGTTCGTTTCATGGTTAGGGTTACTTTAGGGTTCAGACGTTAGAGTTTAGCGTGTGGGGAGGGTTTGCGTGAAACCCCTTGTTTCTTTTCTGGACCCCTAAACCCCCACCCTTCTCTCAAGACCCAGAGACTCCAAAACCCCGTGCATAATTAAGGAATACACCTTAAATCCTATTCGGAATCCAGTTATAATTGAAGGCATATTCCTTAGTTAAGGGGGTGTTGGAGTCTCTAGGTAGTCCCGAAAGAGGCGCTGGGACTGCGCCGCCCTGGTCCACGAGGCGCTGCTCTGGCGCTTGGAGCAGCCGCCGGGCAGCAGAAGAGCTAATTTTGATGGGGTGACCTTGCTTGTGGGGATTTAGGGGGTTTAGGGGTTGGTTCAGGGGGTTTCGGGGGTTTAGGGGGTGGAGGGGGTTCAGGGTTTAGCAAGACTTAGGGTGCGTGGTTTAGGGTTTCAGACTTGAGGGTTTAGGCCTGAGGGCTTCGGGCTGAGGGTTCAGGGCCAAGTTCAGGGGTTCGGATACTTGGAAGATCATGGGACTCAGTAAGTAGGTTATATTTGGGGTTATACGTCCCCTAAGTGGGGTTAACCTAATTATAACCTACTTATATAACCTTACTTACTAAGTCCCATGAGCCTTCAAGTAGGGTCCTGCCCGGTTCGACGCACATCCCACGGGATGGGCCGAGCTACGTTCAAAAAGGTTGCCGAACTTCCGCCCCAAGACATACGACTTACGGTTCAGGGGTTTAGGGTTTAGGGTTTAGAGTTTAGGGGTTAGCTCAGGGCTTAGGGTGTCGGAGTTTAGCGGTTAGGGTTTAGTGTTTCGGAGCTTTGGATTTTGGGCATGCTATGGATGTCTTGAGAATGCTGGCGGAGCCTGGAGTCCTGATCTCTTTGTTCCAAGCTTCGGGTCTGCCACACGCGCCTCTGAAAGAGGTTCAGGATTTAGGGTTGGGGGTTTAGGATTTAGGGTTTAGGCTGTAAAAGGTTTTGGAGGCTCCAGCAATTTGTAAATCGTCAGCTTGTCTGACTTGCGGGAGCATCATGATCGTCTGCTTATCTGACCTGCGGGAGCATCATGATTCGGGTTGATTCGAGCTTCCTGCAGATTCACCAGCTGGCAGGGTCATGGAGTCAACAAAATTATCATCAGATTGATTCCAGGCTCAATTTCCTGCAAATCACTGAACCCCAAAACCCTAAAACCCTGAACCCTAATACCCTAAACCCTGAACCCTAAACCCTGATACCCAGCTGCACTGGGCGGATGGAAAAAGGCGTTCAACAAAAAAAAGAACTTGATACCCCAAACCCTAAACCCTAAAACCCTGAACCCTAAAACCCTGAACCCTGATACCCTAAACCCAAAATCCTAAAACCCTGAACCCTAAAACCTTGAACCCTAATACCTAGACCCTAAACCTCTAAAGCCTAAACCCTAATACCCTAAACCCTAAACTCTGGAACCCCAAACCCTAAAACTGTAAACCCTAAACCCCTAAACCCCTGAACCCTGATATCCTAAACCCCAGGAATTCCGCCTGCCTCTTTGATTTCGGCATCTTTGACTTCCACGCGCAGCCGGGCTAAGCGACAGCGGAGGGCGCAGGGGCTGATCGATGTTGAGTGTACCATTAGTATTGCTGTTATATATATATATATATACATACACATGTGTGTGTATGTGTGTATATATATATATAGACATAAGATGGATAGATATGTTGATTACTTGATTGCTTTTTTGCTTGATTGCTTGATTGCTGGACTGCCTGATTGCTTGCTTATTTTGACCGACTGATTGATTGATTGATTGATTGACTGACCGACTGACTGACTGACTGACTGATTGATTGATTGACCGGTTGATTTGACTGATTGATAAACAGCTGGTCCGTAGTATGCCCTTGCGAGATCCTTTCTGGTCAAGTCAGTGATTCCCGAGTTCTCAGACATAAGCACTGATATCTGCGATATCAGCGCGGGACACAAAGAAGGTGCGGTGAAGCCGGGACCTTTTTTTGGTAACCTGGTACCGGGTAAGCCGGCATGAGTGTGCGTGTGTGTATACATGTACATGTATATATAACTATGTATATGCGCAGATGTATACATACACATCTGTCTGCCTGTCTATCCATCCATCCATCCCCCTATCTGCTTATCTATCTGATTATCTACCCATCTATCTATCTACGTGTCTACCTGGCTCGCTAGCTAGCTATCAATCTCTCGGGCTATCCTTGCCCAAGTTTGCATCCCGTGAAGAAGCCATTGTTCAAATCAAGCACATTCACCCATGTTCTATTTAGGGTTTAGGGAGTCACGGTGCGCGGGAAATTTGATGCACACACTTTTGCACTCCACAGGCATGCCTTAACGCTTGCAAGGCATGGCTATGAGACCATGCATGATGGAATTGGTCGTTCCATCGACTGGAACGACAACTTTTTCGCTTTTCAGCACGAAGACTTCGATGATATTGATTGGGTGCCTTTTCTGCATTCTGGCTGAGATAGTGCAGTTCCGACCATCCCTTATTGCATTGAGCATGCTGCAGTCGGGGGCAGCGGTGTTGCAGGTCTGCAGTTTTTAAGGCGTTTCTTGGCTCCAATGAAACTGGGACTCTATACTTGTTGCCTGTCCATGCACAGACCCCATCAATACGTCCTGGGTCTCAATTACTACCCGTCGACAAGTCCGCGCAACATAGCCTAAGACAGTGCTTGACGTCCCCAGGAGGGCGTAGCCACCGATGATGAACGTCAGATGAGTACCCTGCACCCCAAGCAGCGGGGGGAGCACGCAGGCACCTTGGATGAGTAGCTGCAGAAGCAAGAGCGTCAGAGAGCGAGAGGGACAGCGAGGGATAGAAATGTCACATCAAGCATATATCAATATTAATATGATCGAGATCCTCGTCCGACTCTTTGCAATTCTTATGGGTTCCCTTGTGCCCAGCTTCTGTTCGGCCCAACACTGGACACTTTCCACCGGCCTTGAACAAAGTGCAACCCCGAATCGCACATCACCCCATCCTGCATCTTCAACCCCTCCCCCCCCCCCACGCCCCAACAAAAAGTGTGACCACGACTCCAAACACTAACCACCAGACCACAAAGCACTTGGAAGCTTAAGCCCCAAACCCTGAACCCCAAACCCTAAATTTTAACTCCACAACCGCAAGACCTCCAGCCCTAACTTGGCCTTAAATCCAACACAAAACCCGAAACAGCCGTGAACCCGAAACCCCCAACTTCGCAAACCCTAAGCCCTAAACCCCTAAACCCGTCAATCCCTAAACCCCTAAACCGGCCTGAAACCGAAACCCCAAAGTCAAGTGGGTGGTTTTCAAAATTATGGTCCCTTTTTAGGTCCCTATTATAATACAGCACCACTATTTAGGGTACCCAAGAAGGGACCCCAGTTTTTGACAACTCTGCCCAAGTGGAGCCAGCTCTTGACTTGGCCAGGGGCGCTGGGCAGCGCTATCATCGCCCACTGGACCTTCTCGATCCAGGCAGGATGAGTCTTTAAGCTTGGGTTTCGGGTTTAGGGTTTAGGGTTTAGGAAGTAGGGTTTAGGGCTTAGGGCCTAAGGTTTTAGAATTTTAGGGTTTAGGATTTAGAGTTTCGGGTTTAGGGTTTTGGTTTAGAGTTTAGGGTGTATTGTTCGGGGTTTAGGTTGTATTGTTGAAGTTTAGGGTTCTTTTCAGGGTTTTGCACGCTGTTGTAAGTTCTCGAGCGGTTTATTATACTAGTAGGGCTTGATGGTATCCCATAAAGGGCTCGGATCCTTCGGCCCATGCCACCCTGAACCCTCCGAGAACTGAGCTCTACGTTCAGGAGAAGGGCCTGCTGGCCAACACGACGCTCCTCGAACGCCCGGTGCTTAATCCCAGCTCAATTATCGGTCCGTCTTGTCCACATGGAGCGTTGCTCTATGTCTCAGGAAAGGAATATTGGGATTCTTCAGGCTTCAGAGGGTTCAATATTTGGGGGCTTTGGGTATAGGGGCTTGGGGTTTATCTAGTAATTGAACCGCTTCGCGGAACCGAGTCTGGAGCAATCACCTCATGGAAACCCCAGGGAGACTCCCTTACGAAGTGATAAGGCTTCTTTATCGTCGGTTTGCTAAGACCTCCAGGCCTTTTGTCGTTGGAGGTTCTTCATTTGAGGGTTTACATCAAACGGACCCATAGATATGCTGCACTTTTCTTTAGCAGTGTGCGAGCTCTAGTGGCCCAATCATTGCGTGAGCATCAGTGGCGGTTTCTCGATTGTGCCACCAAGGCTATCGAGCACGTGCAGAGATCATTATGCAGGAGAACGCTGAGAAGTTTTATTTCGGAGAGTTTCAGCCCCGCGGGCATCTGTGGGAGAGATAGCGAGCTTGGCGTGTTGGTTTATGGCGGAAAACTGCGCGAAGCCTGCAGCGAAGGTCAGGCAGGAAGTCGGCGTCGGTGCTTAGAAGTGTCCTTTCGGCCGTCGGCTGGCAGCCACAAAGCAGTACAGCATGCTACCGATTGAACTAGTTACGATTTGAAAAATTAGGGAGCATCTTAAACTCCTCAATGAGCGAATATGAAGCAGTTCGCAATAACTCAGAACCTTAAACAAAAGCACACTTGCGCACAAGTACATAGTTTATGCGCGACATACATGTTTATACAGTATATATGTCAACTGTCAAACATGTCCTACGTACGAATGATACTTCATATGCATAGGAACATGTAACATGTCGTTATACACTGTAAGCTGGTCTTACTTGGATGTATATTTGTCTTGATATTGTAGTTCTCTGAAACATGTAGTATACTCGGAAAGCAATATCTTTGCATGCACATCTTATAGCAGTCCGAATTTATAGAATGTACTTGCATACATGCACGCTTACCCAGATGCGTGCATACGCGCATACGTGCATACATGCCTAAGTAGATATATCTACCTAGCTGCCAACATGCATGCATACTTACATACACATACATACTCATCCATATACATACACATACAGACACGCACGTACGCTTACATACATATACATACACATAGTACGTATTACATACACATACATATGTATATATGTATATATGTAAATATACATATATATATATATATATATATGCACACACCTACATGCGCTCATATGTGTAAAGTGGCACCGTAGCAGCTTGATCTCGTGCTCATCAGCCGAAATGTCCATGCGTAACAGAGCCAAAGTCTCGCCTGGAAGCCCTGGGCACCAGCCAGTCACAGCACCTCACCGTAGCGATCTCGGCAGAGTGCTGCGGATGGCAGAGTTTGCCATCCAAAGCCATGGCTACGTTGGTCAGAACCCCAGCTTCCATGTGAGCGCGAGGAGCGGAAGGACCAGTGCCGTCCAGGTCTCCTCCTGGGAGTTTAGGGTTTAGGGTTCCTTGCGAGCCTGCTAGATGGACCTGGCGAGGTCCTGTGGGTGCTTCATGCTGCATCTCTGTTGTTGGCCCAGCTTCTGCCGATGGCCGGGGGCACTCATCGGAAGCAGATGCCCTCGTGTCCTCAACTGAGGTAGAGTTGGGAACACATCGAGCACACGCGCTGCTGGTGGCAGTAGGTCTTCTCCTGAGGTTTCTTCATCTTCCCCAAGCCAGAAACGTGACGGTTCTCCTGAGGCTTCTGTAGATTTCTTCATCGTACTGCGATATCCTTCGGACGATGATCTCCGCGATCTACATCGGATTCGTTTTCATTTTTTTGTCGTCGCTGGTGGGGTGGTCGAGGGGCTGGTTGGCTGTGTTGCTGGTGCCGCAGTCGCACTCACTGTTGTTGCCTCACTGATGCCGCAGCCGCTGCTGCAACTTTCCCTTGTGCTCGGTTAGTTACCTTGTGGTTCTGGCTGTTCTTTTTCAATGTTCCTGGCACTATTACTTGGTACTTCTACATATGGATACTGTTCGCGTAGGCGGTGAAGTAGAAAGTCACAAGAGCTGACCGTGAGAGGGTTCTGGTTCTGGTTTCCCTACATCCCCAAACTCTGAAGCTGGTGACCGAGGTGCCGATCTCCACGTGTCCGGCCTGCATGCTGTTGGGGTGGGCGGAATGATGGTTTAGAGTTTAGGGTCAAGGGCTTCAAGTTTAGGGGTTCCCGTTTTGAGACCTGCAATGAAGCCAGGCTCGTTCATGCCCCGGGCACTTTTAACTTCTCAAGCTCTAGCAAAAAGAATGTGGTATTGCACCCGCAGTAGGAGGTTCATTGTGATGTCGGAGATGCTAGACAGGATGGAACAGCCAGCAACACCACCCTCGATGCTGTAAGCAGAACCCCTAAACACCAGCCTGCCAGGCTAGCTTCGCCAAGAGGCCGGTCATGGTTCCTGGGGTTTAGGGCTCAGGCTTAGAGTTTAGAGCTTAGGGTTTAGGGCTCAGGGTTTCGGGTTGAGGGCAAACCCGACACCCCGCGATGGCCAGGCTTCTTCTGGTTGTCGCCTGTATTACTAGTACTGCCTCGTGTCCTTGGACTGCATTTCGGATCCATAGAAGATTCATGATAGCCAGTTTCTATGACGATGGCAATGCCGACGGTGATGGCGATGACAGTCATTATGGTATGTTATGATGATGATGATGACGAACGTCAGACTGGTCACATGCTGGTCATAGGGGTGACAACGATAACTAGACCGTTCTTACCTGCCTCTAAACTTGAAAGCCCGATCTTCTTCTCCATCCGCCCCTCCTTATGTCTGTTGGCCCGACAAGGCCCCAGCCCCGCTGCTTCGCAGCTTCTCGACAGTGGCGCACCTTGCCGAGAGGGTTCAGTCTTCATTGAGGGTCTTCCCGAGAGGTCGCCGGGGTGGTGTTTCCGAGGCAGCGCTTCGATGTCTCGCGAGCTTAGTGCTCTATTTTTGTCTTGCAAAATGTGCTGAGGAGCTGTCGTTGCGGTATCTGCCGGATGAGCCTCCCCACCCACACTGTGATAGAAAGCAAAGACATGGACACTAATCCTACGGTTCATGATTTAAATCCCGCATTACCTTAATGACCCTAGACCATGGGAATTATGGTATATGCCACATTATGGGTAATGCAGGGTTTATGTCATCAACAGTAGTGTTCAGCCAGCCCCCTAAATCCCACAAGCAGGGAAACGGGCCAGGGCCGACTAGGCCTCTTCTGCTGTGGTTGCAATCTTCGCCGTACTTATCTAAGGAACTCATTTTAGTTACCATAATGAGAAAGCATATCACTTACAACAGATTCCTATTATTTGCGGTAGCTTAGCTGAAGTTCCTTAACAAGAACCCAGTTCGGGCGCCCCCTCCAGCTCCAATCATATCATAGCCTTCCCGGACGAGCCTTCCCGAGAATCCGAGGTCTCGCTCCGCTTTCTCTTGGGTACTTCCCATCTACATGGCCTTTGCCCAACGGAGCCTGGCACGTCGCTTGGAAGAGGACTCATGAGTCGTAGTTGGTCTGCTCAGGTCATGCAGGGGCCTAAAGGCTGTCTTGGGTTGGGGTTGGAGGGTTCTATCGGAGATGGTCGGGATTTGGCATTTGAGTTGCTTTCGGATGTTCCGGGTCTCTGGGGTTCTTGACTCCGTAAATCGAAGTTGCAAAGACTTGATGGCAGCATTTTGGATCCCCTCTCTCTGCTATCTGTGGCTTGTATTCACTGAAGTTTGGGCATAGCCTTTCCTCCGAAAAGGGGACCCCAATTTTTTTCATTCTCTGCGGTTGAGTCGGTAAACGACGCTCGCCTAGCAAGGTGAATTCAAACTGCATTTAATTGAAAGTGGGGTGGCGCAGAAATCTATTGACATAGTATGCGCTCACCGGACAGGGGTGGGATGTAACCAGCAAACGGAAAAGCTGTCCCAACCCCACAACAAAATCAAAGATGGCGCATGGAAGAATGCCTGAGAATGCACGGCAAACAAAGGATGCTTTGTATTCCGTAAACGGCGATCAAAGCATCAGACAACGTACGATCCACATATCGGAACCAAGACGTGCAGGATCTTCCTCATGGGTATCAGCTGAGGCCATTCCTACACGGTTACAATACCCAGGATGTCTAACACCTTCATCGAGGTGATATCGGGACATCAAACTCAACCATAGCATGAAGGCCATAGGACCTCCACACGCAAATCTAAAGCGCTCCAGCATCACTCACTTACATGATCAGGAACTGCTAAGCAAGGATAGCGGAGTCAGCGTCATTAGATCGAAGGCCTGACGAGCCTCTGTTCTGCTTGATGGCGCACTGCTGGAAAGCCGACGTCTTCATGCAGCCAGCCGCAAATTCCTGACGAGCCTCTGCTCTGCTTGATGCCTCTCAGCTGAAAAGCCGGCGTCTTCTTGATGGCAGCCATCACTGTGAAGTGTGCGAGCATTGTCCTCCAAACCATCTCCACACATATGTTCAACATGGCCACCTTGCACAGCATGTCCTTCGAGCCCATAAACACCATCACATCGGGTGAAGTGCATGAGCTGCCAGGTTGCCGCTTGGTGGTGCAAACGCCCTCGCCTGACGAGCCTCTGCTCTGCTTGATGCCGTGCGGCCTGAAAGCCAGCGACTTCTTGAAGCCAGTCGCAGACTCCTTTATGGTGAGTGGTGCGAGCGAGTCCTCCCAGCCCATGTTCAATATGGCCACTCTGCACAGCATGTCCTTCGAACCCGTAAACACCATCGCAACAGGTGAAGGGCATGAGCTGCTATGTTGCCGCTTGGTGATCCATTCTCCCTCGCATGACGAGCCTCTGTTCTGCTTGATGCCGCGCAGCTGAAAAGCCGGCCTCTTTTTGAAGCCAGTTGCAAACTCATCTGCTGTGTGGTCTGCGAGCATGTCCTCCGAACGAATGCTCAACAAAGTCACCTTACACAGTGTGTCCTTTGCGTCCATGATCGCCATCATGTCGGGTGAGTGCAAAACCTGAATGCCCAGCTTGTGCATGGCACACTTGCCGCTATGCACTGCTTGCCCGTAGCCGGCAGACGCACCCATGGCGGGTGCTGGGGCCTACAATATTCCTGCCCTGCGCAGGCGATTTGGGCCCTGGGGACCCCAATATAGCACTCCAAATAGTAGGATCCTCTATTATAAGGACCCCCAAACAAGGTACCCCTAATTTCCTTGATTCAAGGTGTGTACTGTGGAATCAAACCCTTGTCGTTGGTGGCGTTTTATCTTTTTGTCGCCAGGCTCGGCCTTGATAGCCCTAAGCTCAAATATAGGATAATGTGATATACCATACTTCGATTCAATATGACATAGTATGATATACTATCCTTATATATATATATAATATGAGATACTATAATATAACATAACGTAAATGTACTTCTGTACACTGGAATATAACATAAGGTATATGATCTTTGAACCGTAACAAGCCACCTGAGATCACCTGAGGGAGCCTCGGCGTATTGCTGCCTTCGGTCCTCATGCGCTGCGGGTGTGCGAGGCGAGGCGCGCGAAACATCGCCCGGGGAGATCGTCAGGGGACTTAGTAAGGGTTCTTAAAGGGCTCCTTAAAGGGATCTATAGGGTTCCCTAAAGGGATCTAAAGGGTTTAGGGTTTAGAGTCTACTTGGAGGATGAGTGGACTTAGTAAGTAAGGTTATAAGTACCCTAATTGGTGTTATAAGTAGGGATAAGAATTACCTTATTTATAACCCTAGTTACTAAGTCCCATGATCCTTTAAGCAGGGAGATTGTCAGGGAGCTGCTGGTTCGGGGGGGCTGGGCTTGAGGTTCTGGGGGATGTGATGGGTTTATATTACCCTAAACCCTAAACATTAAACCCTAAACATGAAACCCTAAACATTTCGGCGTAAAGCTTGGAGTTTGCGCTTAGGGTCTAAGCCGTCCAGTGTGGACCTGAGAGTGTCGGGAGCAGACTCGGGAGCACGGCTACAGTCTTGCTCTGACAGCCACCTTTGTCTTATGTATTATAGGGACCTTATCAACTACCTGAACTATTTTGGGGGTGCCTTATTATGTTTATGCCAGTACAATATAACCCCAAACCCACCCCGAAACCCTATCCATGCCGATAGTAGACAAGCCAGGAAGGCAAAACCACACCGCCTCAGGTCTCCGTCTCACCGGAAGCTGGGCATGCCATTGCCCTAAAGACTTCAAGTGACATCTTGCGGCTACCAGATTGGCCCCTGGATGTAACGTGGCTGCCACCAGGGCACGGGCACTTGGGAGACCTTTTGGTAGCCTACGGAAGAGTCTTCCTGGAGATCTGGCGGCTAGGAGACGACGGACCGAGGAGGCAGGCAAGGTTGGCCGGTACTTCAGAGGTCTCCTTCCTCTATTCGGCGTCATTGCAGGCTTTGCCCTTGGCAGTGGAAGCTGGCAGCGTGCTCTGTGCCGGGGGGACCTTCGATGGCTTCGTTGTGCTCTGGACTGTGAGGCCGGAGGAGGCAAAGCTGGAGGCACCTTTGCAGCTGTCTGGACACGAAGGCGCCATCTTCAGGACACGGCTCTTCTTGGATGCGACGGTCCTGCTCACGGCTTCCGATGACCGCACGGTGCGGCTTTGGGTGGAGGAGCGATCGCCACTGCTCCATGGCTCCGTGGGACAGATTGAGGCCAAGCTCAGTCTCTCTGGCTCTCCTTTCCGCGGCTGGCGCTGTGGGGCGATCTGTCGGGGACATGGCTGCCGGGTTTGGGACGCTCTGCTTTGTCCCATCGGATCTTTGAGCTTTGGCATCGTGTCGGCATCTGAGGACTCCATCGTACGAGTTTTCTCTCTAGAGGGGACCTTGCTCAGAGAACTGCAGGGCCACCAAACGCGAGGCGTCCGGTGCTTGGAGGTGGTGGTGGAGCCACTAACCTGGGCCTCAGCTAAGTTCACCCAAGCTGACCTCGCCGTCATCTCAGGGGGCGAAGACGGAGCAGTGAAGCTGTGGCCGCTTTGTGATGTGGGTGTCTCCAGACATGATGACACGGCGGAAAGCAAGGGTGCGTCCAGCAGGGTATGGCATGTGCCACAAGCAGAGGAGACAGTGCAATAAAACCGCATAGCTACATGGTTCAGGTGCCGTGAGGCACGAATGCGTTTGCTTCGTCTTGGAACTTGGTATCCTTGTAAAAGAGAGTAAAATCGCAAAGCAGAAGCATCCTGAGACCGGCAGGACTGGATCCGAGAAGTGGCGCTGCTTTCGCACAGAGAGGCCCTCGTCGCGACGAACTTTGGAAGAATTTATCGACTGCTGCTCCACGTCGAAGACGATGACAAGCAGGTGACAGGCACTTTGCTCTTTGAGGAGTCGGGTGTGTTTTTTACTTGCATGGGGTTGGGTGCTTCCGCGCGCGTTTGGGCTGGTTGCGCAGACGGTCGCGCCCTGACACTTGGTGTACACGACGGGCGCAGCCGGTGGGTAGAAGCTTTTCGGCAGTGCCGGGTCAGTGCGGCCTTCGGGGCGAATGCTGGGCAAGGACTGCTGGCAGATCACGCCGGCAGCGTGCAGCTTTGGTTGGATGATGCTTCAGAGTCTGCGCCATCACGGCTTGCGGAAGTGAAGCTGGTATCCTCGAAAAAAGGGGACAAGAACCAGCGCCTGCTTTGTGCTGAGCTTCTCACTGATGGCCCAGCCTGGCTATTAGGGGACGAGCATGGCAACCTCCATTTCGTCGACTTGCGGGACCAGTCACATCGAGCTGTCCACGAGGGAAAGGTGCTTTGTTTGAAGCTTCTATCTCAGAAGGACAGGGAGTTTCTTTCTGCAGGGGCTGACGGTACAGTGGTGCACCATCGAATCGAGTCAGAAGTCTGGACTCAGCTTTCATCCCACAGACCGGGATGTGGTTTGCGGCACCTGGCACACCTGTCCATGATACCCCGCTCAGGCACGTCAGATGTGTCCATCCCGCCCTTGCTGATCGGTGCCTTTCAGAGTGCCGACTTCGTATTGTGGGATGCAGTGGCTGGACTGGAGATTTGGCGAAGCCGGTGTGGCGGCGCCAAGAGGCCAAATGATCTTTTGGCAGACGGGGCCTCTTACACGTTCGTCTTCTCTTCCGCATCCAAGTCGTTGGAAATCCACTCCACCTTCACCCCGGAAGCTGGGTTCAGGAGTTTTATTTTAAATTACCACAATGCGGCAGCCCCTTTATTTCCTAAAAAGGGTCCCCAGTAGTATTGCTAGTATTACCCGCGCTATCCCTATTATTCCCACCATTATGGTCCAAATTATGGCAACGTAAAGAAAGCCGCTGTTTATCAAGAGCCCAGGAGGGCGCGTCTCCAGAAAGCTCTGCAGCTGAAGCGGCGGTCGCCCCCAAAGGCTTGCGGCAGCCCTTGCACGGACGTGACTGGGTAGGCCTTTGGGGTATTTGTATGTTTTCTCTCAAGGCCTTAAGGGGACACTAAATACTACAAAGCTTACTAAAAGGGCTACGGCTACTATAAGGGTCACAAAAAATACTATATGCGGCTTCGGAGGATCTAAATTTCTAAGATTTTTTTCAGAGGCTGTGAAGGGCCAACCTAGGTGAGATTCACAGCGCCTGCTGGCTTCACCCACCTTCCGAGGAGACTCGCATTTCAAGTGAGGTAGTTAGAGGGTTTAGGGTTTAGGGTTTAGGAATTCTAAAGGAGCTTAGTGTACTTTGAGTGGTATTCCACGTTTTAGGGTTTAGGGTTATGCCATGTGTTTCTAGATGCCATTACCTACGAGTTGTTTCGTTTTGTTGTGGGGAGTTTACTGGTCATCCCCCAACCCTCAGCCCCAAAGCCTTACACAGAGTCCCTACCACCTCCTACACCCTGCCCTAAAACGGGTAGCTGTTACTCTACACCCTGAGCCCTAGCCGTAAACCCCAAGCCCCAAACCCTACCCCCGAAACCTTAAACCCTAGCCCCTAAACCCCAAAACCCCAAAACCCCAAACTATAAACCGTTGTACCCCAAAACCCCCAAGCCTTAAGCCCTACTTGGAGCATCAGTGGACTCAGCAAGTAAGGTTGTGAGTACCCAAAATAATAAGTATAACTACCCTACTTAACTTCATAATCGGATAAGTATACCTACCCCATTAAAATTCTTAATCGAATAAGTACAACTACCCTATTTAGATGCTTTAAGTAACTGTAACTACCTTATTTTGATTCTTTAAGTAACTATAACTACCTTATTTAGATGCTTTAAGTAACTGAGGAGCGACCTGGTCTCCTGGCCACCGCCTCTGAAGACACAAGTCTCCGGCTAATCAGGCCGAGCCTGAAGTAGCGTCACCTGGTCGTCCCTACTTGGAGGATCAGGGGATTTAGTAAGTAAGGTTATAAGTCCCCTAATTGGGGTTATAAGTATTTATAAGTATAGTTACCTTAATTATAACCCTAGTTACTAAGTCCCATGACCCTTTAAGTACTTAGGCCCTATAAAGGATCATGGGACTTAGTAACTAGGGTTCCTTCAAGGGCTCCTTAACGGGATCTACAAGGGCTCCTTAAAGGTTTCTATAATGGATCTATAAGGGTTTAGGGTACTAGGATTATAAATAAGGTAACTCTACTTACAACCCCAATTAGGGTATTTATAACCTTACTTACTAAGTCCCCTGACCCTCCAAGTATGTACCTGAACCCTAAACCGTTAGGTATCATATCATTACAGTCTGCAACATCACGTCAATAAGTAGATCAGTTCTGCCAGCCTTGATCCCGAAAAGCGTCTGCAAAGGCGCTAGCAGGGGCACCCGGCGGGAAGTAACCGAATCACTCTACGACTGCTGCAGCGTAAGAGCCCCAGAGTGTTGCCACTCAGCTTGGGGGATGAACGAAAAGCAAAACAATTTCAACCTTCTACGCAGGGTTTGGGGTGTGGTGTGTTGTTTGGCTTTTTCGTGTTGCAATCTAAACCAAGGTTTAGGATTTACCGGGCCCAAACATATGCCAGGGTTCAAGCCTGTTGCCTTAAACCTACCGCCCAAGGCCCAAATTCGAAAAGACTACAAAGCTCACAGCCTAAACCCCGAGCCCGAAGCAAAGACCACTTTATCCCCCCAAGACCCGCAAGTTGCGACGTCGCACAATAGTGGAGGTTCCATCCCTCCAGCCTTGAGCGCAGCGCGGCGCTCACCCCGGAGCCAGCAAACGTCCGCTTTCCGGGCTCAGTGCGCGCTTTAGCAGCGACCGAGCTCCTGGTGAAGGGCCAGGGCACCAAGCTGCTCCTCTCTGGAGGTCCCAGACCAGCTTTAGGGTTCAGGGTCATCAGAGGACACTAGGGTTTCTTTGTGTTGCTCTGGTCTAGAAGGGTAAGTCGTCGTCACTGTGGGCCAGATGCTCTTTTTCGCAGGGAAACCCTAAACCCCAAACCCTGAACCCCAAACCCTGAAGCCTAAACCCTGAACCCTAAACCCTGAACCCTAAACCCTGGACCCTAAACCCTGAACCCATCAGCTCGGAAGGCGCCAAGGGCATCCTTCGGGCGCATCTCCTTGAGGAAGTGAGTTCCCTGCGCTGCGTTTGGTCCACCTCGCTGGCCCAGGATGCAGTGGTGCCGGGGCGACTGTTCAGGGGTTTAGAGCAGGGTTTAGGGGTTTAGAGGTTGAGGGTTTCGGGTTTGGGGTTTGGGGGTTCAGGGGTTCAGTGGTTTAGGGTTTCGGGCATGATGGATCTGTCAGGGTAAGTTGTTACTGAAAGGAGTCATTTAACGGGGGACACTGCTCCGGGAACCTGAGGAAACCCTGGTTTTGAATCCCCGAGACTATTTCTAGGATCTGTTCGTGAAAAAACGAGCAATTTCGGAATCAGGCTCCTCAACTAGCATTAGATCAACCCCAAGCCAGCTTATTCGAGGGGGCTCGGGGCAGGTTGGGACCCCCATGATCGAAGAGGAGGATGGAGGAGCAGCAGACTCAGACACCCTCAGCTGGCTGCTTCTGAATGGCGCAGTGTTCGGGGTTTAGAGGGACAGGGACCTACGCTTCGGTACAAAGCTTGCAAGAAGCTCCTCTCGAGTTGAATGGGAAAGAGGAGGAATGTTACATCCGTCGGTTGCTTTGATTGACCTTTTTGGAGATTCCATGGTTTACCCTGCTTAGCTGTCACGGCCTCCTGCTTCCCGGAAGCCTGAGCAGCCACAGAAGCCCTAAAGACCCCAATCCCGAAACCCCTCAAATCCCAACAGAGCCCTACAAGAGAACCCCAACATCCACCCGAAAACATCCCTTAAACCCTAAACCTTAGAACCTAAATCTTAAACCCAAAGTATCTCAAAGCGACACAAGTTAGCCTCACCTCCCTTTACGGAGTCCCGAAGCCTTCAAGCCCGCTGACGCGCTGAGAGGCCGCTATGCGGCTGGAGGAGCGAGTGATGGCCCTAAGCTGTATCAACCTGGAGGTGGGAATTTCCGAAAATTCGGGGTACCTTATTTTGGGGTCCTTATAATAAGGGTCCGACTAACTATAGGGTAATATATATATATATATATATATATATATATATATGTTAGGGTCCCGCATTTTGGGAACCCGCAAGTGGGTTCAAGGTCTTCTGGAGGGCTCCCTAGGTTACATCGGGCTTTTCAGGGTTAAGGATACTAGTGGGTCCTTTGGGGTTGAGTGCTGAGAGCTTCGGGGCTTGGGGCTTTAGAAGAAAGGTTTACATCGGAATCGAACACAAACCACGAAGAAGCACAACGACAGTGACGACAAGCAACGGTGCAGGGAATGCAACACGGAAAGCAACAGTGCTCATCTGCTCGTCAGAACACATGTAGGTAAGCCCCCCTCTCACTCTCACTCTCACTCTCACGCTCCTCACGCTCACTCTCACTCCCGCTAGTATACACCACCGTTGAACGAGATTTGCAGCTGAAACGTTTGTGTGTTCAGAAATGTTTGGATGTGTTGACAAGCACTGTTAGGAGTTGTGGAGGACATCTTACATTGCTTTACCTGGTGCGTGAGAATAACGCGCACCCGCTTCAACTTCTTCCCCGGCAAGGGCCGTGTTGCGCCACCCCCCATGTTACATCATCGTCAATCGTACAGAATCGGTTGCGCAGTCATGCAGATAGGTGACATTGAGAAAAACATCTAGGTGGTGCTAAGTCTCCTCCATCCACTCGTTGCACTCGCGTCTATCTGTCCGTCTGTCTATGTATCTATCTTCTGCATCAGCTGAAGCTTTTCGCGAGGCCTCCGTTGTGGCCTGTGCTGCCTCCTCCAGCGGACTACTCCGCACGTGGCATCTGCGGTGGGGTGACGGAAATTCCCTTGAGGCGCGGGGCAGCTGTAGATATTCGTTTGCATGTGCTGTCTGGGGGTCTCTGTGCGGTTGAGGTGTCGGGATATCGCAGCCTCAGTGCAAGGCAGACTTTCTTCAGCGGCAGCGCGCCGCCAGCACCACTGCCTTATGCGCCGAGTGTTTCCTGGAGCAGGGCTTCGCAGGGGTTGTGCTGGGAAGTGCCGATGGGAAGCTGGCGGCCTGCAGCCTCTCAGTTCCAGGCCTTTGCTGGGAGCCTCGAGCCGAGCCGCTGCTTCAAACGCAGCTCCACGATGCGGGTCTCAACGACTTGGCCCTCCAAATCCTTCCTTCCGAAGGCTCCGGAGTACGGCTGCTGGTCCTGAGCGCCGGGGACGATCATCGCGTCTCCCTGTGCCGCCTGGACTTTGCCCTATCTTCGGAACCCAGCTGCACGCTGCAGATGGCTCGAAGAGTCGATTGCGCACATACCTCCGCAGTGCGCGCTGTGGGCTGGACCGGACCCTTCGCTCTGTGCCTCGGCAGAAAGATGCCATTGACTTGGGCTTTCTTCTCGGGTTTGGTGTTCTTGTTCTTTCTCTTGTTGATATTAGGACTAGTGACTGTATCAGTGTATATTTATGCCGCGTACGATAATGCTTCGCAATTGTTTTCATGAGTATAAATATTCATGTTCGTTTTACATTAGCTTTGTTATTCTTGCATTATCATTGTTGTTATCATTATTGTTGATTCGTACCGGCATCATCATCATCATCATCACATCATCATCACCAGCCTCCTCCTCCTCCTCCTCCTCCTCCTCCTCCTCCTCCTCCTCCTCCTCCTCATCGTCATCATCAGTATGTTGCAGAAGAAAAAGAAGTTGAATTACTATTATTATCATTTACTGTTTGCGTATTGTTACCATTGTTGTTACTGTTATATGATAATTATAATGTTAATGATAATGGTAATGCTTATGAATATGACTGCTATTACGGTTATTATTTATGTTATTACCAGAACTGACACTATGATTGGTGATGACGGCTATGATCACGGTGATGGTGATGATTACTCTTAATTTTTAGTTTTACAGTAGAAGCCAGAAAGTTGGAATATCATTATCGTAACCCCTTTAAGGTAAATTATAGGGGCTCCTACCATTAATCCATATTCCAACTTTCTGGAGTTCCCTTTAGCTGCGACGCCTCCAAGGAGCCTGGGCCTGGACCGGCGACTGCGTGTATGGCAAGCCGATCGGGCGAGCTGCGAACTGACGGAAAGACGAGCTCAGGTGGGTAGTTCTCTAAATCAGGGTTTAGGGTTTAGGGTTTAAGGTTCTCTAAATCAGGGTCTAGGGTTTAAGCTGGGTGCTAAATCAGGGTTTAGGGTTTAGGGTTTAAGGTTCTCGAATTTTTGGGTACCTTTTTTGGTGCCTTTGTAGGTTTCCCCAAAGGGGCCCTAACTTGGAGAACTAGCCAGGTGGTGAGCTGCAGCGAGCCTTCGCCTAAGTCGCTGCGAAAACGGTCGCTTCGTACTGGCTTGGGTTCGAGCTCTACTGCAAGTTTAGGGTTTAAGGTTTATATAGAAACCCTAATAAGGAACTCTAAATCGGTAAGTCTTTTCGGCTACAGGGTTTAGGGTTTAAGGGTTTCAGGTTTAGGGTTTAAGGTTTAGGGTTTAGGGTTTCAGGTTTAGGGTTCAAGGTTTGGGTTTAAGGTTTAGGGTTTAGGGTTCAAGGTTTCGGGTCTAGGGTTTAGGGGCAGATGGGGAGAGGCCTGGCCGAACTGAAGACGCTTCGATCATAGGGATCCTTAGGGGTGTAGGGGGGAGGGGTGTAGGGGACTATATTTCCTTAAATAGGCCTTATTAGTCCTTATTATGGGCCTTAAGGCCCCCTACCCCCCCCCCCCCCCCCCAGGGATCTTAGAATCCCTTAAACCCTGAACCCTATAGATCTATTAAAGGATCCCTTAAAGGAATCCCCTAAGGATCCCTATGCTTCGAGTCACCAGCCAGGCCGAGTGCTCCAAACCGGAAGCAAGTTTAGGGTAGATTAGGGTCCCCTTTTTGGGTCCCTTAAAGGGTTCCTTAAAGGGATCTATAAGGGCTCCTTAAAGGGATCTATAAGGGTTCCTTAAAGGGATCTATAAGGGTTCTATAAAGGGTTTAGGGTTCAGATCTAAATTCCAAGGGTAAAAGGAGGGACCCTTAATAAGGACCCCTAGGTATATACCCTTAATATAGCTATTATATACCCACTTTGGGGTAGGGGTCCCCATTAAAGGAGATCTGGGTGGTTGTCAAAATCAGGGTCCTTTTTTTGCTTACTTTAGGACGGCACCTAGTACTTAGGGTACCCAAAAGGGACCATAGTTTTGACAACCACCCATCTAAAGCCGCTGAACGCAAGGAGGTTATGCTATGTAGAAGGTTGAATAATTGGCAATATAACTCTTGAGGTTTCCGGTTTCCTGTTAAAAAAATACAGTATACCATGCCCTAACTATCAAGCCCCTCATATCATCTGCTACTCGCGCCAGGCAATGGCGCGAAACCATGCATGACTCTTCACAAGAATGCGTTTATGCCGTTAATCCCCATGATGATAGACAGCATATACACTGCCCTAATCCTTCCCCCCCCCCCCGCCTGCCGCGACTCCCAATGCTCCGAAGCCCGGAAGCCCAGCAACCCAGGCCAGAGGCATTGGCCGTGTCTTCCGCAGGGCTGCTGGCTCTCGCTGGAAGAGGCCTGGGGCTGTTGAGTTCAACAGCTTGAGTGGTGTGGGTGTGAATGGTCAGCGTTGATAGGGTCCAGGGTTTCGGGGTTTAGGGTTGCGGTTTCGGGCTGTTGAGGGCACAGGGTTCCGGGAAGTGGTTTTACTGCCCTGCTGTCTGCATCAACAGCCACAGCTGTCGCCGGAACTAGGAAATGTTCCAGTGCAGGGTCAAGTCAAACTGGGATCTGATGTTTTTCCTTCCACGCTTTGTGGGCTTTTGGGGAGCTGGGTTTAGGTGTCAAGCTGGGGATCTGGGTTTCAGAGAGCCTGAGATGTAAGGATCTGTAGAGCAAGCCTGGTACGTAGTGGAGCGTCTGCAGACGCAATGCCTCAAATCTTGGACCCGCAACACTAATAATGTAGGTCCCTGAGCAATTAGAAGAGGATTCTTGGATCTTTTCTACTACAAATGTAGCCAAAACCTTGAACCTACAATGAAATTCTGCATTCGGATGGCATGCGAGAACTAGAAGCCCGCATGAGAAGGGGCTCTGGCAGGCGTCGAAGTTTGCTCTCTTGTGGACGTGCTCGGAGCTCAGTGTTAGAGGGCGGTGTCGAGAACAGCTTCAGTCTTGCGATGTCTTGCGAACTTCGGTGAACATGCGCTGCCTGAACGTCGCAAAAATGTGACCGGAGCATGGAGCATGCAACCCAGAACCACCCAATTGTGTGTTAGGTAGAACAGTTTAACCCATGATGGTATGTAGGCATGCGTGTTGCATTCCGTGCGACTGTTCGTGTCGCGGCCGGCAGTGTCCAGGTGTCCGGACGGATCCAGCTGATCATCTACAACCCTGCGAGAGACAGATCCGAAGTAGATCTCCCTCGAGGCACCAACCTTGCCTCCCCACCCAGTGTTTCTATTCGTCCGTGCCGATGCTGGGACGAAAGGAGCATGAGATAATGCAGCATAGTGCTACTCGCGGACTGCAGTGCTCATGTCTTCTACGGCAGGTGGACCATCCCCCAGGCTTCCAGTGAGCGTCAGCCACGTGCCGGTCTCCCCAGTGCCTTCCCTCTGGTGCTGGGTTAAAGAAGCCACGAAGGCCCCCATGCAGCTCTCAGATCAGATCCCAGGCATGCTGTTGACTCGACAAAGAAGACGGCGCTCGGGACAAAAAACAGACTTACATGGTCATGCCCAGGTCCTTCTTTCTAGGCCTGGGTTCGGCAGCTTAGCTCCGAAACTCCAGCATTGTTTTCCTCTGCTGCCAGATCCAGTCGCGGCTACATGGGAATGACCAAGAGCCCTTCTGCAGGGCAGCTGCCTCATTGAAATCATCTTGGAGCACGAGCTTCACCGTTCTGTAAGTTCGGTATTCAGGTTTTGAGGGAGCTTCGAGGTTGACATGAACTCGGACGCCTGAACGAGTAGAGAAGCGCCGGTGTCTGGATTGTGACTAGTCAGAACCTGCGTTGAAGGTAGTCGCTGGCACTCTACTGTACTGGTAGGCCTGCGTCTGCGTGAAAGCGGAGATTGGCGGGTGCTTGATGCACACCCTTCCCAGATCGCAGCCTAAGTCCCATTTCCCTAGCCTTGTGCGAAGTAAAAGAAAGAGCATTTCGAGTAGTTCCGGGTAGTTCCACAAGGAAGCGGTAACAAGAAATAGCTTCAAATTTACAGAATCAAGACCCCCACGGCAGAATGCATGAAAAAACGGACCAAACCTTCTAGTCGACAATGAACGCCACCTTCCTTGAGACTGCTAGGAGGGCATTGAAGGGCGACGTGAGCACTTTGTACGTAGAGTCACAGAACCTTTGTGGCATTTATGGAGCCCCAGAGCTCTTCTAGGAGCCTTGCAGAACCTTTGCAGAGCCCTTGTAGAACCCCTATGAAACGCTGTAACGAACCCTTTTGGAACCCTTCCGGAGCATCAAAGCGCAGTGAGGATCGAGGGCCGAATCCGGATCTCTTTGCTGAGCAGAAGGCAGGGACTTTATTTCCGCTCCTGACCTCTACTTTTAGAGACTGGAGGTCAAGTTAGGGTCTAAGGTTTTATGGTTTGAAGGGGTTTAGGGTTTTGGGGTTAAGGGTCTATACGGGTTTTAGGGTTTAGCTCTTCAGGCGTTTATGGTGCAGGCTTTTGGGGGGTTCTAGGGTTTTCGGGTATATTAATTGGGGTGTGGAGTTTGAGTTTTGTGTCGAGTGACTGCGTTGTCATGGTATGTAGCTAGCGCCTCGGGCACAGCGCACCAGCCCAGCTTTTCAACCCCATCATGCATGTACGAATTTGAGGAACAGGAGAGTTGACGCGGGCCCACACAAAGAGCAGAACTGTTGCTTCGCTCTTACCATGGGTCTCGGGCTTAACAAGCCCTGACTGCCCTGAACTGCGACATGCGCTTGCGGGGACAGGTGCGCGCAGATGCGTTGCTGGACCCCTGGGAGAACAAGCTGACGCCGATGGACGAGGATTTGAGTCCGCTGTATCAGTGTATGAGGGTTCTCTCCGACGGGGAGGATGTCAGGGTCCGTATAGTTAATTATGTATAGGAGCAGCGTAGTCTTGATTTTCATAGAGGCACCCTTGTGATCTTTTCCGCTAGGGTTTAGCAAGATCTTTCTCTGTGGATATGGGGCCTGGATACAGGAAGCAGCAGAGCAGAGAGACTCAAGTGGTTTGACATTTGGAAAGTTTTCATGAAGAAGCCACTTTTGATAAAACCGAGCGTCAGGAGCTTCTAGTGTCAGGTAGTGAAGTGAAACACGTGACATTCCTACGTGGCTGCTTTCGTTCGATCGATTGACGAAGTACTGGTGTTTCCAGCTGGTCCGTACCCGGGCCTGCAGCTAACTCAGCTTCAGCACCTGATGCCGGGTGCTGGGCTCCTGTAACGAACGCTACACTACAGACTAGCTTCCGAAGCTCTTGCAACCATGAAGCGCTCCCAACCAGACGCCTTCCAAGCAACAGTCTGAGGCAACTTGCAGCGGGTCAAACATGGCAAACAAACTCATGAAGACAGCAATCTCAGCCAACAGCCAGTGCAAGTAGCACAAAGCAGAGCAATCGCAAGCATCAAGCATCATAGCATGACGCGAAACACTGTGATGTTCATTCACCCTACAAGAAACGCCGTGATTGAAACCCTAATTGAACCTAAACCCTAAACCCTAGAACCCTAAAGCCTAAACTCCAGAGGAGATCATGGAAATGCCTGTGCCCACGCCGGTCTTTTGGACGACGGTTCGCCCCAAGGCGCCCGGGGGACGCGAGCAGATTCTGTGCACCTTTGCGGAGCTGGGGTTTGGAACTTCTCATTGTAGGGGTTTAGCGATTAGGGTTTAGATGTTTAGTAAATGTAGTAAGGGCGTGGGGTCATTCAGATTATTGTGCTCTTGGCCATTTCTAGTCTAGTTGTTATGATCAGTGAGAGCGGATTACGGACAGAGACTTGTACCAGCAGTATCATTCATACTACTAGTGTTCTTATCGCGTTTAGGTGGTTCATAAACAATGCTGTAAAATGTAAACCCTACACGGGTTGAACTTCTACGTCGCAGAAGATTCACTGGACCCCGTGCTCGCAGGCCTGATCCCTTGAGAATTGTAATCCCGATGATCCTAATCTGTAATCCCCGAAAACCCACCCCCCCAAATGCGTAGATCTTATGCACTACTCCATGGATCCTAGTACCTAAAGCACCAAAACCCCAAACCCTAAACCCTAAACCCCTAAACCCCTAAACCCTAAACCCCCAAACCCTAAACCCTTAAACCCTAAACCCTAGCCCCTAGACCAAGATCCGAGAGTTCTAATTCCCGCAGCATAGATCGCCTAGGAGGCGAGCCCCTGGGACATTGGCCGCACGGCAGACGACTCAGCAGGGCAGGTTTTTGCGGACACGCTACTATAAGGGCCTTAATTATGAGGGTTTTGGGGGATATTATACTGTAAGTATAATAGGGAACCCCCAAATTAGTATAGGTAATACTTATAGTTATCAGAATAGGGTTTTGGGGAATATCATATTATACGTATTATAAGGAACCCCCAAAACTCCATACTAATTATCAAGGCCCCTATTACCGGCCAGGTTCTTCTGCCAGGCTTCGGGCAAGATGAGTCTTTCTGGATGAGTCTTGAACGCCCTCACACAGTTCCAGCATTCCGAAACACGTGAAGAAGTCGAACTCAGAACCTGACAAAATCTTAGGTCGGACACCGCTTCAAAAAGGGTGGCAAGCGCATGGTCAGTTCTTTTGAGCGGACCTGTGGCGCGGGTCCCAGCCCGTTCTCAACCGGACAAGACACCGGTATTTGCTGCCAGTGCTGCTGCTGCTGCTACTGCTGCTACTCCTGCAGATGCAACAAAGGCAACAAGTGCAACAAACGAGAGATACAAGTATTCGAAGACTGCTCAGAAGGCTCGTCGAAACGACAGCAGCAACAATGATGTCATTCGAGAGTGACACGACTACCGCTCACATGACAGGTTGAGGAGTGTCAGCTAGAATGTTTCAACCTCATCAGCCAGACGTGCGAGTAGTGATTGCGGAGTGCATGCAGTCAGCATTCTCGTCTTTTCCCTCCTCCCCATCCTCAGCATCACTTGCAGTAGCCAACCATCATGCTAGTCCCAGGTGTCGACATGACACGGCAGGAGGTTGACATCAAGGGGAAGAACGCAGGCGCGTCTGAGCCGGCAGGATTCATTTTGCATGCCCCGCACTGTCGAACTGGAAGCCCCCAGGGTCGCGTCAGCAGTCTAACCTTAATAAAAACCTATCATACTATTTTTGGGGGCGATTGGACCTTTGTGGTGTCTGGGATCGGGCGCTGTGCGGAGAAGAAGGTTCCGACACAGTGGCGTTTCAGGATCAAAGCTAGGCGTTTTGAGGCAAAGAGGAGCCAACTGGGCACCACCATGTGCTCGAGGACTACTATATAGCTTTCTGCTGTTACGGGTGCTGTAAGTGAGAGCACTTGCAGCCCACTCTTCTGTTGCAGCCTCTACGAGCCTTCAGGCTTCAACGGAGACAGAGACTTCGAGGACTCCAGCGCCGCCTGCCATGACACGTAGTAGATGGGGAAGAACAACAGCAAATGTGCAACCGTGACAATCATGCTGACAGTCGCAAGAGGAAGTACCAGCGGGTTGCGGTAGCAGGCGAGTGGCATTCAGTATTGTTCTTGTTGTTCTTCTTCTTGCTAGTAGTCGTGGTAGTAGTTGTAGTAGAAGGCAGCAGAGCATGAATAGCTGGGTTTTCTGACGCTTTCCAGCGTCGGTATCGTACTGGTGGTAGCGGCAGGAGGAGTATCACCGTCCTCTTCTTTATCGCCGTCGTAGTCATCATCATCACCACCACCATCATCGTGATCCACCTCGTCGTCGCTACGATACAGTAACTATCATCATCAGCATCATCATCACCACAATCATTCGTCATTTCCATCACTAGCATCATCACCCTCCTCCTCCTCCTCCTCCTCCTCCTCCTCCTCCTCCTCCTCCTCCTCCTCCTCCTCGTCCTCCTCCTTCTCATCACCGTCGTCATCGTCATCGTCATCGTCATCATCGCCATCATCATCATCATGGCCATTGTCCTCTCTAGCTCCTTTTAATAGTGTTCATCATGCTCATAGTCATCTATATATTTTGCTTCAACGTCAATGTCATTGCCTTCATTAGCACCACGATTCGAGCGAAGCTGCCGGGCGCGGGTGCAGAGCCATCCAAAGAGTGCCAGCCTAAGGCGTCTCTTCAGTCCCGGTTCCGGCAGTTCCAGAACCACGACGAGGTTCGGAACTTGAAAGAGGTGGAGAGAGCGTCTGC